AGGGGGAGCCATTTGGAAAAATTTAAAAACAAAGGGTACTTTAAAAGGTTTATTTGTGAAAAGGCAAAATTCTGGGAAAAAAAAATGGAAAAAATAGGAATATGGAAAAGAGAAAAAGGTTGGTTTTGGAGTTAAAAGTAGTATTCCCCAAAATTAAGGCCCATTATACCTTTTTGGAAAAAAAAAAGGGTTTTTGAAAAAAATGTTTCCCCCAAAAAAAGGGGGTAATAAAAAAAGGATGATAAAATTTTAAAAGGTTTAAAATTTTTGGAAAAAAATAAAAAATTTTAATTTCTTTGGAAAAAGGAAACCCCGGAAAAACCTAAAACCCCGGCATTTTTTTGGGGAAAGGGGTATTAAAATTTTAAAATTTTTGGTTACCCCCTTAAACCCGGAACTTTTCAAAAAAAATGCCCAAAAGGGTTTTTTGAAAAAATTTTGTGGACCCCCAAGAGGCCAAAGGGTTAGGAAAACCTTTTTTTTTAATGTTTTAAAACTTTGCCCAAGGGAAAAAACCTTAAATTCGAAAAAGGGGGAAATTTTTAAAAAAGGTTTTGGTTTGGAACCCGGGGTATCCCAAAAACCGTGGCAGGGGGCCCTTTTGGGGGAAAATTATTAAAGTGAAATTTTTGAAATAAAAAATTTTCAGAAAAGAAATAAAAACCCAAAAAAAACCCCAAAACTTGGGGGAAAAGGGACTTTGGTTCCTAAAAAAGATTAAGAAATTTGGAAAGGGCTTTTAAAATTTTTGAAATTAAAGGGAAAAACTCCCAATTTAAAACCTTGATTGCCCGAATAAATGCCCGAATGTGTGACAAGGGATTAAAAGGGAGGGTAATGGGGAAAAATGTTTTAAAGAATCCGTGGGCGAAAGTCCTTGGGGTTGAAAGGAGGGGATGGGGGATTGGGGAAAAGTTTGGAGGGGGATTTTTTTAAAAAAAATTTTTCCCCCCTTCCCAAACAAAAGGGTTTAAAAAATTTTTCAGAAGGTTTGGGGGAAAGGGAATTAAAAATTCCATCAAAGGGTTTAAAAAAATTTTTTTCAAAATTTTTTGGTCCAAATTCAGGATAAATTTTTTTCCCCTTAATTTTTTTTTTTAATACCTTTTTTTTAAAACCTTTGGGGAATTAAAAGCTTTTGGGGCCCCTTTTTAAAAACGAAAAATTGGGGAAACTGGGCAGTTTTTTCAATTTTAAAAAAAGGGGGAAATAAACAAAAAGGGAAAAGGGGAATTGAAAACCCGGTTTTTAAAGAAAAGGGGATTCCCCCTTTAAAAAATTTTAAAAATTTTTTTAATTTGGGGTTTAATTAAAAGAGGTTGTAAGGGGAGGGGTTTTCAGGGGTTTGGGATTAAAAAAAATTAAAAGGGTTAAAATTTTTTTATAATTTTGGGGGTTTTAATTTAAAAAAAATTCAAAAATTTTTGGGAATTTAAAGAAATTTTTAAAAAACCCTTTTAAAAAAAAGTTTTGGGGGGATGATTAAAAAAAAAAATTTGAAGGGGAGGGAAGGGGGTGGAAGGTTTTAATAATTGGGGGTTTTTTGGGGAATTTATAAAGTGGGGAAAAAATTTTAGAGGAAAAAAGTATGGTTGGGGGAGAAGAGGGGAAAATTTTTTTGGAAAAAAGGGTTTGAAAATAATTACCCCCCCTTTTTAAATTTTAAGGGGGGTTGTAAAAGGAAAAAGGGTGGGTGTCGGGAAAAAAGGAAAGGGGTGGTAAATTTTTAAAACAAAAGGGAATTGGGTTTTTTGTATGGGGGGGAGGGACAAAAATTTTTTAAAGGGGTTTGGGATTTAAAAAGGTAAAGGGGAGAAGTTTTAAAGTTTAAAAGAAAGGGGGAAGGGGGAGGGTGTTAAATTTTAAAAAAAAGGGGGGAAAAATTTTTTGGGGTGTAAATATTTTTGCGGGAAAAAATTCGGGGTGTGGAAATTAGGAGGGGGGGTGTGGAGTTTTTTTAAAAGTTTTAGTCAGAGGGGGGGAAAAAGGGGGTTTTGTGGGGTTGGTTTTGGGTCATTTAGAGAAAAAGGATCAAAGTAGAATGACATTAAAAAAGCATAAACCCTATGGGGGAAAGGAAAAGCGGGGTGGGGGTCGTCCTCAAAAGGGTTGGAGAGAGGGGGAAAAGGGAGGTTTTGGGGGAAAGGGGTTTGGGAAACTTCCAGCAAGCGTGCTTTGGAGCTTTTTTAGATAGGGGGTGAATGGACCAAATGGTATTTTGGGGGACCTGACGATCTTTTTTGGAGTTTTGAGCAGGGTAATATTTAGTGAAGGGATTCGGGGAAACCCGGGTTATTTTAAAATTTTGTGGGACTTGATCCGGGAAATGGGAAGTACAATGCCTGCACTTTAAAGGAGGGGGTTTGGGAAAATTGGCAGTTTGGAGGGATTTTTGGGGTTTTGGGGTATTTTTATATGTGTATGCTTCGGGGACGTTGTATTCGGGAGCACCTCTGAAAAAAACAGTGAAAAAATTTTTGGCGAGTGTGGTGAAAGTTTTAAAATTGATGAAAGTATTTTTTTTTTGGGGGATTTTTTTTTTTTTTTGGGTCACCCTGCCTCGGGGGGGAGAGGGCCCCCGATTGTTGAAAAAAAAAAAAAAAAAAAAAAAATTTATTATTTATATTTTCCCTCCACTTCCCCCGGGGGAAAGGGGGAACAAAATTTTTCTTCCCCCGTAACCCAAATGCTTTTTGGGAAAGACGCGACAAAAAATCCCGGGAGAAAGGGGGTTTAAAAAACACCACCTTTTGGGTATATATTACTAAATTTAAAAGGCGAAAACTTTTTTTTTTTCCTTTTGGGCCCCCACCACCTCAGTTGGGGTATGGCTGGTGCGTTTAAAGAAACAATGTATGTATCCAGGTTGTAGATTGGTTTGACAGCAACTGGCCAGTGAGGGGGTAAAACCGGGTTCCTGCCGAAAGAGGGGTAAAACAAAAGGGCCCTTAAAATTTTTTTACACGGGTGGTAGGGTTTCTGGTGTCGTTTTTTTTTTTCTCATAAAAAAAATGCAAGACTCAGATAAATCTTGCTTTCTTTACTTACACTTAAGTCACAATACACATACATTTCCAAACATATATATACAAAAACCCCTCTGGGTTTTTTGCTATTTTCTTTCTAGGGTTTTTGTTCTTGTTTTTTTTCCTCTTATCTCCCTGGGGAAAATGGAAAAAAAAACCCTTCCCCTGTAAGCCATTGTGTTGAAAAGGGGCGACTAAAATGTTTGGGAAAAGGGGGAGAAACCCCCTTTTCCTTTTAAAAATTTAAAAATTTTAAAAAAGAAAATTTTCGTTTTTTTTTTTGGGGCCACCCTGCCTCAGTGGGATACGGCTGGTTTGTCGAAAGAAGAATATATATATATATATACCCTAGGTAGCAGTTTGATAGACAGCAACCGCCCAGGGAGGTACTACCGTCTTGCCAAGCGAGTGTAAAACGAAAGCCTGTAATTGTTTTACACGATGGTAGGATTGCTGGTGTCTTTTTTCTGTCTCATAAACATGCAAGATTTCCGGTACATCTTGCTACTTCTAGTTACACTTAGGTCACACCACACATACATGTACAAGCATATATATACATACTTATATGGGTTTTCTTCTATTTACTTACTAGTTCTTGTTTATATCCTCTTATCTCCATGGGAAAGTGGAACAGAATTCTTTCTCCGTAAGCCATGCGTGTAGTAAGAGGTGATTAAAATGCCGAGAGCAAGGGGCTAGTAACCCCTTCTCCGGTACATACACTGTATTACTAAATTTAAAAGGAGAAACTTTCGTTTTTCCTTTTGGGCCACCCTGCCTCGGTGGGATACGGCCGGTTTGATGAAAAAAAAAATATATATATATATAAATATCCTGGTTAGTAGATTGGTAGACAGCAACTGCCCAGGGAGGTACTACCGTCCTGTCGAGTGAGTGTAAAACAAAAGCTGTAATTGTTTTACATGATGGTAGGATTGCTGGTGTCCATTTTTCTGTCTCATAAACATGCAAGGTTTCAGGTACATCTATATATATATATATAATGTATATATGTGATGGAGTGAATGATGGTGAAAGTTTTTCTTTTTCGGGCCACCCTGCCTTGGTGGGAATCGGCCAGTGTGATAATAAAATAAAAAATAAAAAATCTTTCTTTCTTTCTTTCAACACACCGGCTGTATCCCACCAAGGCGGGGTGGCCCAAAAGGAAAAACGAAAGTTTCTCCTTTTACATTTAGTAATATATACAGGAGAAGAGGTTACTAGCCCCTTGCTCCCGGCATTTTAGTCGCCTCTTACAACACGCATGGCTTACGGAGGAAGAATTCTGTTCCACTTCCCCATGGAGATAAGAGGAAATAAACAAGAATAAGAACTAGAAAGAAAATAGAAGAAAACCCAGAGGGGTGTGTATATATGTGCTTGTACATGTATGTGTAGTGTGACCTAAGTGTAAGTAGAAGTAGCAAGACGTACCTGAAATCTTGCATGTTCATGAGACAGAAAAAAGGACACCAGCAATCCTACCATCATGTAAAACAATTACAGGCTTTCGTTTTACACTCACTTGGCAGGACGGTAGTACCTCCCTGGGCGGTTGCTGTCTACCAACCTACTACCTAGGAAAATAAAAAATATGTATTATATATATACAGTATTAATGCATCCACGAACAAGCAGTTTTAAGCAATTAACAATATTGCAAATGGCCAGGAATTGAACAGGGATCCTTTAGCACACCTCGAGAGAAGCATGCCAAAATGCCAAGATGCCTTCATCCACTCAGCCATCAGTGCTTTAAACATCAGGTGCCCAGTATCACTGGACATGTCACTCCTGATGCTAGCACATACATGGCTGGCTATCCATCCGTGTGTGTGTGCAGAAATACAATCATTCAAATGGAGAGAAGAATATCATTAAGTTATATCAGACAAGTTGGCACAAGAGGTAGGCCTAATTATTTGATACATCAACGTTTTAACACTATTAAAAAAAAAATTGTCTTACATCTTTAGCGAAAGGTCGACGTGCTGAAACACATGAACTGTTCTTGCTCCACGTGCCCCAATATGCAGGTCTTCTATTCTCGCAGAAAGATAAGAGTTTTCCTCGTGTGTGTTTGCCTTTGGTCATCCTGGCAACGACATCTTCAATCATTCCATCCATATTTTCTAAATCTTCCTCCTCATCTTCTGAAAGATGAATTATTTCTATTATATTTACAATAATACTTTTGCAGTATACATAATAGTCTAAGTACAGTGCTTTTATTCATATAGAGCGCCTCTTGAGGAATGGGAATAAGGAAGATCAGTGTACATTTCCAGCATCTTCAGGGAAAAAAAAAATGCTTTTAAGATTTGATATTTTTTCTATTTCCTTTGAATCTTCCTCCTGGCCATCACAATTAATGTCCACACCTGAAGCATTAAAACTATCTTTTGCAAACTCCCTACATACACTGGGAAAAAAAAAAAAAAACAATTACTGAACTTTGTAGTTCACATAAGTTGTCTTCACATACAGTCCCCTAAACTAATTATAATAGTGATTTAAAGCTATTCCTTAAAGGCTGCTACAGATCCCACGAAGACAACCATATCATGCCCAACCCTAAACCACCCACGTATCATTCAAAATCGTCCCACCAGAAAGACACTCAGTTCCAAAACTGACTACACTACCCAAACCACTTCATACCCTCAACACCTCTACATCCTAGACTCACCATAACATAGTCCAATAACATCTCCAAATCCCACCAGACTCCAAGACCCACTAACTGATAGTAACAAAAACAAATCATGTATAAAATGTAAAGAAAACTAACAAAATATGCAATCTTCATCCAAAATGAATAACCCAAGTAAAATCTTTTCACATCTATGAAAATACTGGAATTCATTTCTGAAATAACACTGTCCTCTTTTTTTAATATTTTAGTACACGTTCTGGGTTCTCCATTGGGAAATGGAACAGAATTCTTCCTCCGTAAGCCATGCGTGTTGTAAGAGGCGACTTAAATGCCGGGAGCAAGGGCCTAGTAACCCGTTCTCCTGTGTAAATTACTAAATTTAAAAAGAGAAACTTTCATTTTTCTTTTTTTGGGCCACCCTGCCTTGGTGGGATATGGCTGGTTTGTTGAAAAAAAAAAATGTTCTGGGTGTGGCTATCTACCTTTTATTCAAATCCCCGCATTTCTTTGTCAAAGTATTCACTAAATACAGTATGTATGCATGAATGTAGGAAGGAGGGGGTAAAAGTCTTGTATGCAAGGGGCTGGGACATCCAGAAGGCATTTGTGGGTGTGTTAGATAGGATTAGAAGCAAATGTTTTTTTGTGGCTTGACAAGCTGTTGGAGTATGAGCAAGGTAACATTTGTGAAGGGATTCAAGGAAAGCAGTTAGCTGGAATTGAGTCCTTAGGATGGAAAGTACAGTACAGGTCTCCCTCAACATTCACGAGGGTTAGGGGATCAAGAGCCTCGCGAATGTTGAAAAACCGTGAATGCTTGGTGCCCCAATATATTGTAGGGAAATATAATACAATACTGCTTCCTTAACTTGTTGAACCATGAACAATCATTAAATACACGAAAACGTCGTAAATTGTACTAAATACATACGTTATGCCTTAACAACATGTATGTTATTAATACCACTGCCTCCACCACTGCAAGTCCCTACTACCCTCCCTCCGGCCCCCCACAACTGGCAGCCAGCCCTCCCACCACTGTGGTGAGTGTTTTGTTTGTTCATTATTTGCTATTAAACTACAGTATAAATAATGTCAACCCATTTATGACTGCATATTGGAATGGCTATTCGGACAGGTATTGGAAGGTGACATCATGTGTTTACTCTTGAACACAGCAAAGAATCAAACATTTGTGCTACACTGCTAATAATAATAATAATAATATTATAATAAAAGTAATAATAACAATAATATAATAAAAATAATAATAATATTAATATAATAATAATAATATTAATATAATAATAATAATATTAATATAATAATAATAATATTAATATAATAATAATAATATTAATATAATAATAATAATAAATACAATAGAATTGAAGAAGGAAATTGTACAAAAATACGAGGGCTGAAGCAGTGGTGGAGGAAGTGGTTGACACATCGTCAGTGTGGCTTTGTTTATGCTGGAGTGAGTATTAGTCTCCGTGCTCTTCCAAACATTTCACAATAATTCATTGTATTTGGTGCTTATAGATTGAGTGTGACTGGAGTGGTTGAGGCAGTGGTAGAGGCAGTTGGTGAGGCAGTGGGTGAGGCAGTGGGTGAGGCAGTGGGTGAGGCAGTGGGTGAGGCAGTGGGTGAGGCAGTGGTAGAGGCAGTGGTAGAGGCAGTGGTAGAGGCAGTGGTAGAGGCAGTGGTAGAGGCAGTGGTAGAGGCAGTGGTAGAGGCAGTGGTAGAGGCAGTGGTAGAGGCAGTGGTAGAGGCAGTGGTAGATGCAGTGGTTAGGCAGTGTAGAGGCAGTGTAGAGGCAGTGGTAGAGGCAGTGGTAGAGGCAGTGGTAGAGGCAGTGGTAGAGGCTGTGGTATTTACTAACATAAATGTTATAAATAATAATAGTACATGTTAATATTAATAACATTTATAATAATAATAATAATAAATGTTATTCATAATGTAGTATTATTATTTATAACATATATGTTGGTAAATATCACTGCCTCTACCACTGCCTCAACCACTCCAGTCACACTCAATCTACAAGCACCAAATACAATGAATTATTGTGAAATGTTTGGAAGAGCACGGAGACTAATCCTCACTCCAGCATAAACAAAGCCACACTGACGATTGTCAACCACTTCCTCCACCACTGCTTCAGCCCTCGTATTTTTGTACAATTTCCTTCTTCAATTCTATCGTATTTATTATTATTATTATTTTTTTTTTCAACAAGTCGGCCGTCTCCCACCGAGGCAGGGTGACCCAAAAAAGAAAGAAAATCCCCAAAAAGAAAATACTTTCATCATTCAACACTTTCACCACACTCGCACATTATCACTGTTTTTGCAGAGGTGCTCAGAATACAGTTTAGAAGCATACACATATAAAGATACACAACATATCCCTCCAAACTGCCAATATCCCAAACCCCTCCTTTAAAGTGCAGGCATTGTACTTCCCATTTCCAGGACTCAAGTCCGACTATATGAAAATAACCGGTTTCCCTGAATCCCTTCACTAAATATTACCCTGTTCACACTCCAACAGACCGTCAGGTCCCAAGTACCATTCGTCTCCATTCACTCCTATCTAACACGCTCACGCACGCTTACTGGAAGTCCAAGCCCCTTGCCCACAAAACCTTCTTTACCCCCTCTCTCCAACCCTTTCAAGGACGACCCCTACCTCGCCTTCCTTCCCCTATAGATTTATATGCTTTCCATGTCATTCTACTTTGATCCATTCTCTCTAAATGACCAAACCACCTCAACAACCCCTCTTCTGCCCTCTGACTAATACTTTTATTAACTCCACACCTTTTCCAAATTTTCCACACTCCGAATTTTCTGCAAAATATTTACACCACACATTGCCCTTAAACAGGACATCTCCACTGCCTCCAACCGTCTCCTCGCTGCTGAATTTACCACCCAAGCTTCACACCCATATAAGAGTGTTGGTACTACTATACTTTCATACATTCCCTTCTTTGCCTCCATAGATAACGTTTTTTGACTCCACATATACCTCAACGCACCACTCACCTTTTTTCCCTCATCAATTCTATGATTAACCTCATCCTTCATAAATCCATCCGCCGAAACGTCAACTCCCAAGTATCTGAAAACATTCACTTCTTCCATACTCCTCCCCAATTTGATATCCAATTTTTCTTTATCTAAATCATTTGATACCCTCATCACCTTACTCTTTTCTATGTTCACTTTCAACTTTCTACCTTTACACACATTTCCAAACTCATCCACTAACCTTTGCAATTTTTCTTTAGAATCTCCCATAAGCACAGTATCATCAGCAAAAAGTAACTGTGTCAATTCCCATTTTGAATTTGATTCCCCAAAATTTAATCCCACCCCTCTCCCAAACACCCTAGCATTTACTTCCTTTACAACCCCATCTATAAATATATTAAACAACCATGGTGACATTACACATCCCTGTCTAAGACCTACTTTTACCGGGAAGTATTCTCCCTCTCTTCTACACACCCTAACCTGAGCCTCACTATCCTCATAAAAACTCTTTACAGCATTTAATAACTTACCACCTATACCATATACTTGCAACATCTGCCACATTGCTCCTCTATCCACTCTATTATATGCCTTTTCTAAATCCATAAATGCAATAAAAACTTCCCTACCTTTATCTAAATACTGTTCACATATATGCTTCAATGTAAACACTTGATCTACACATCCCCTACCCACTCTGAAACCTATACACAAATAACCCGCACATAAAAGAGAGAAGCTTACGACGACGTTTCGGTCCGACTTGGACCATTGACAAAGTCACACCTCCTTGCTCATCCACAATCCTACATTCTGTCTTACCTCTAATTCTTTCAATTATAACCCTACCGTACACTTTTCCTGGTATACTCAGTAAACTTATTCCTCTATAATTTTTACAGTCTCTTTTGTCCCCTTTCCCTTTATATAAAGAGACTATACATGCTCTCCGCCAATCCCTAGGTACTTTCCCCTCTTTTATACATTTATTAAACAAAAGTATTAAACAAAAGTATTATTATTATATTAATATTATTATTATTAGCAGTAGCAGAAATGTTTGATTCTTTGCTGTGTTCAAGAGTAAACACATGATGTCACCTTCCAATACCTGTCCGAATAGCCATTCTAATATGTAGTCATGAATGGGTTTACATTATTTATACTGTAGTTTAATAGCAAATAATGAACAAACAAAACACTCACCACACAGTGGTGGGAGGGCTGGCTGCCAGTTGTGGGGGGTCGGAGGGAGGGTAGTAAGGACTCGTGGCGGTAAACTTAAATATGATTTGGCAGCTGGGAATTTGGCGGTTGGGAATTCGCGAATGTGTGAAGCCCGCGAAAGTTGAAAACGAGAATGGTGAGGGAGACCTGTACTTACACTCTGAAGGAGTGGTGGGGATATTTGTTAAGGGGGCATATGAACTGTAGTACTGATGAGCCTGTG